ATTCATTTTTTTGAATATCACAGTAATTTCCTATCAACAGAATCAAATGCTCTCTTATAGTCTACATAAATACAGTAAAGACGTCCGCCACTTTTAGATAAATACTTTTGTACAAGACATTGAAAAGTGAACATATTATCCGTTGTGGAATGGCCTTTCCTAGATTCTGTCTGGGCCTCAGATATACTGTTAAAATGATCAGAAAAAACGTTTAAGATGCGCACTTAGAATAGAGGAGAATAACTTCCCCAAGGTATCCATCAAAGATATGCCTCTATAATTATTAACAAAGTCAAAGCTTCATTTTTTTATGGAGTGGAACAATAAAACTCTTAGCCCATTGGATGGGAAATTACCAGTTGACAAAATAGTATTATACATAACTAACAAATATGGAATTAAAACAGTACTGCAACCTTGAATCATCTCAGCCTTAATACCATCCGGCCCTGCAGCTTCACCCGGCTTCAGATCTTTAATGGATGATTCGATGCCGTCCTGGGTAATATCACCATTAAGAATATTATTTACATCATCATCAGTAGAGAAATCACACAATAGTTCATTAGGGTTATTTATAACATAATCTACCTGCTCAATAATATCCAAGTCCACAAGTCTATCAGTATGGTTTAAAATATTCTTAAAATAATTAAACCATTCTTCTTGTGGCGAATCTTGTTGGAAACAGGACTACCACTTGTCTTCTTTGTCAATGCACTTATCTTTTTCCAGACTGTTTTACTATCTCACTTATTGTCTCTTCGTATTCTTATCTCTTCTTCCCGCATAAAGACCTGTAACTATTTCTTAATGTAGAATATTTAGAAAGAATCTCCTTGTCCCAGTAACTTTAAAATTATCTAATACACTCTAGAAAGTAATCCGCACGAAATAGAACCATTATGTACAGCATTGGTCAAAGCTTCAACAGCTAACTCAACATTCAAAGACAATAAATGCATAATCTCATCCATGTGAAGTGCAGACAATGACTCAGAAACATTATGTTTAAAGGCACCCCATATTTCATTTCTCCATGTATATCTCGGAATATTATTTACATGCATTTCATTAACATTATCGACCTGTCACATCCATGGAGGGTAAGTATGATAGGAAAGTGATCTGATTCACAGCGAGTAGGTATGTAAGAGAGTGGAACGGGAGTTCGAGTCTCCCCGCTGACCAGAAAGGTTCTCTCTGACTGTTGGAAGTTGCACTACTAAAAGCTGGAAGTCAAGAGCTGATGTGAAGTAGTACTGCGCTCTCAGTGCACCATTTAGATATGTGTTGTGTCAGACAATAGCAATGCATCTGATGACCTATTGTGTGTAATGCTCATCCTACATCCTACAATAGATGGAATTGAACAACCACCCTGACTTATGATTTAAATAAGCTACATCATCCATGAACCGGGCTAGAAGGGTAACACAGTTCCCGATATACCAGGCAACAGCTAACTGCGGCGAAACAACTTTCATCGCTCATGTTGTGTACATGTGTTGCCGCCCTTGATCAGCGCAAGTTTTCAGCACATAATGTTCATATTTTTCAATTAGCCCGTAAAGAATCAGGTAAGACTGGTCTTCAGCAACACATGCTTGTCTCAAGAGGCGATTAACGGGATCGGGGCCTTCTCGCTGACCCGGTTCATGCATGTGGTCGGATTCTATTACGTAGATCGATGCTCATGGTGTCAATCACTCGATTTTTTACAGACCGCCGTCATATAGCTGGAATATTGCTGAGTGCGACGTTAAACAACAAACGATTACAATGCACTGGGTTGCTGGTCTGTTCAATAACACACAACACGACAAGCCACTGTGTTGATTTGACCTGTAAGGATGGTGACCTGCTGAGACCGTAACGCACAAGATTGACCTGGCATTATTAAGACAGATGTATAGAAATGTAGCAGGTCGTGCGAAATGAATTCATTATAGCGCTCCAATAAGAGGGCAATGCGCCCATTTTAGTATTTTCTATGTAGAGTATTTCCGAGGGATTAACTAGATCTTTACCAACACCCTATTATTTAATTGCGTTTGATACGGGGATATCTCTTTTGGAAAACTAAAGGCCATCTCAAAGCAATATAGGTCAACTGTAGAAATAGGGATCTTAACTTCGCTCTTGATGGTTTCAGCAAAATATGGAATTCAGTCATGATATAGAATCAAATGTTCACAGTTTGTTGTCCTGTTATCTCTTTTTCATTATCGACCTCATTCCCTCACCCGTGAAGATCCGGGTTGAGAATAGGCAACTCATGCTTGTTATAAGAGGCTACTAACGGGATCGGGTGGTCAGGCTTGCTGACTTGGTTGATGCATGTTATCGTATCAAAATTGCGTGGACCCCACTGAGATACCATACTGCAGTTTAACATGAATACCACACTCAGACACAGTATACTGACTCCGAGCCGACCAGTCCTTGTTTTAGCTCAGTAATGCCGAGCGCCTGGCAGGGCAACATCACGTACAATGTTTTAACGTCATTGGTCTTTTGGGGATCGAGCCCCGACCTTCCGCACTACGGGCGGATGCTCTACCACTAGACCACGGAGGCGGTCATAACGGACAAAGCCTTTTAAGTAGCAAGTGAGAACACAAAGGGGCCTCAGCGTCACGGATAGGCATAAAAGGTAAAGGTAACACACATTGTTATTCACAACCTAAAGGGTTAATCCCGTTGTTTGCATGTGATAACATCTTGTGATAACAACGTGCTCCCAGGCTAACTGTACAGGTGCGCCCTATCTACGTGTATCATTGCTCATGTTATCAACCACGGTTCTGCCCAGCCCAAAGGAACGTGAGTCAGTTGTTAGTGTTTATGTGTTAAAGTACGGCAATGCAAACAAACCTAAGTATGTCGCCAGTCAAACAATCCATTCATCCCTTACTAAACATCTGTGCCCACATGAGCAAGAGGGGAAAACGGTCGGCCCAGTCGTCTAAGGCACCGCATTTCGCTGTGCAAAGTTGCTTATGCGTGTAGGAAAACCTGATCGTGTTCGAATTCCAGATTCGCCCTGACTATAAACAATGGCTTAAGCCTCAGTCACACAGACAATGCGACCGCGATGCAACCTCCTGGGGACCAAAATATTTGAAAGCGCACTGAGGTTTCAAGGGTCTCTGAAAGGTTTCACTGAGGTCGCCACTAGGTTTCAGAGCTGTCGCAAAACTTTTGAACATGCACGAAAGACTGTCTGCGACCGATTTGGTCGCTCGGTTTCATTGCTCCCTAGAGGTCCCCAAGTGGTGTTATTCTAATCGCAGATTTGTTTCCACTGTGCGGCGATCGGTTTCGTCTAAACAAGGGTGGTGACTCTAGTGGCGACCTATCGGTGATTAATCAGTGATGAGGCGGTGATCCACCGGGGCTTCATCTGTGACTGGTTGTCGATCGGTTACAAAGTGGTTTCCAAGCGTGCGTCGATTGGGTTTGCAACATGCATTATATCATCATTTTGTCATAAGTACTCAGAGAGTTCACATCAATTATTTCCATTAATCACTGTGGTCCGTAAAGGCAGGAGCACAAAAGAACCAGAAACTGTAGAAGATACAGTAGAGACAACTGCTGTGGTGCACAGGTCTGCTACAATTGAGCCAGTGCCAACACTATCTCAACAAAAGAAGAGGCGGATACCTGATGAGGAGGAAGAGCCAGAGATGTCCGATTTTGACAGGCTCCATTCTGAGCTTGCCCATGAAATCACCACGATTTTCTCTCTCCAACTCTACCATCAGATTCTCATAGTTTCCTAGCTATGGCCTTCTCGCGATTCAAGATCTCAGCCAATACTGATTTCGTCTTATCCTTCTCATTCATCTGTATATTATAATGGTAGCAACTTCAGCATTTTGCTTTATTCTTTGCAGGCGGAGCAACAGGCAACTGTTCTGCTGTTAACATCTGGACAATTTGTAAAGAAATGATTTGATTCAGAAAAGCACCCTTTTTATACACATTATGTTTTGATCACCGACCAGTCACCGTTCAGTTGCAACAAGTCACCTAAGATTCGCTGACTAGTCACCGACCGGTTTTACGCAATACCGGTCTTTATTGGGCGTAGTTACCCTGGGTCTGCCTGTTCTTGGCCCGTCTCCTATCTGTCCGGTCTGTCTGTAACGTTGTGTAAGGTTAGTTACCGCAACACGGGAGCAACCAAAAGTTCTAGCAAAGTGGGAATGGGCGGCTCCTATCTGCATCATACCCAGGGCCCGCTCGCGTTGTTCGGGTGTCAGTCGTGGCATTTCTGTGGTGGTTTTTCATCAGTGAGAGTGTCTAACGTGTATCACTTTCTGCATAGAGCATTGTTGTGTTTGGACAATGTGTTTTGCATTGATTATAGCTTAAATTTTGGCAATTGCAATTTGATGTATTTAAAAGGATTTAAAAGTTTCTTTTAGCCGTCAGTTAATCTATTTTAATTTAAAACAATGTGCCTGTTTTTTAAAGAACATACCTTGTAACAATGTATGATTTTGTGGCAGATAATGTCAGTCTGAATGATTCATAAATAAAATCCAAGCCCTTTCAACCCCATCCCCATCCCCGCATCAATGGTGAAAACATAGCTGTCAATCTACATTAATATAGGACGTATATATTATAGTCATTATCTTTAATTTGTGAGTGTCGTTTCAATGAATGAAAGACAATTTGTTAAATAAAATAATTTCAGCACTGACCATAACAGTTCAACTTAAAAGAATGGTATTATTTGTAAATTTCAGATTAATTATCTGCCAATTATATATCTTCAAACTGTGACAAGAAAGATAACACTTTAAATGAGTATTGTTTTTAATCTCGCATTGGAGGTCACTAAAGGATTATCTAGACCCGTTTTTGAAACGACGCCCAATGGTTTAAAATATTTTACTTGATTACAAAATAGCAGGGGATATTTCATACCATAAATTATATCAACTTATCATATGCATGACATCAAAGCAATAATTACAAAGGGGTTGATGTTTATATATGTTTTATTCAATATTTGACAAAACATGTATTAGAGATGCAAACAAAGGTTCGACTTATTACAATCCAACCCCAGATCTACTAATGCTCAAGCTAGTTAAAACTGTACACATATTAATAATATTTAATCAGCTAAATGTAAACGATACGAATTTTACCCTCCTTATAAGACGTCCTGAAATCTTCACTTCTCCTCCTCGGTCACCCCACGGACACGAATTGTTATTACAGCTACATAGTTCTCATACCAAACAAAACTAAATAGTGTTAAGGATACAACATTTTTTCCCAAATACAAAAATAGAAGGTTGATTTATGTAACTCTCTCACAAGACAAAATATTATTTTTGTCAAATGAAGTTGATTTTCGACAGAAGAAGTCGGGTTTTCGTTATTCAGAAAACAATGCTGTTTCCTTAATGTCAGAAATTAAACCAAAATAAAACAACAAAATAATCGATCAATATGCATAACCAATCTGGGCTTTGTCTCGGAGATACATGACAGGTTTGATAGGATTATATTTCTCACTTGTTTTGAAAAAGGTTTCAGAATTATCCCAAAGGGACGTAAAAAATACTTCTGAAATGTACGACCTGACAACCAGCTCGAAGTGTTATCCAGATCGCTGTTTTTTATAGTACACCCCTTTCCCTGTTTCTAAATAATTTGATCTCTCTGTCATGAAGCGCAACAATGGTGTGGATATTGTACAATGCAGATGGATATGCAAAGATGCTCATATGAATGACGTGAAGGCGAACTGGAAGAAAATATTGGAAGCAAACGTAAAATACTGCCCTTACACCTACTGTAAAACAACTGAAGAAAGATGGGTGCGTGCACTGTGTTTGGGACACTAGGCGTTCCGCACGCGATGGAAGACTCCATTTCCACTGAAAAGGGGTCTGCTGTGGCGTGTGACGCAGTGCACGCTTCCGTGTATTCGCCATACCTGATGTTGTTATCGACTACACGTATTTTTCTGAAATTTGTTTTACAGCAAGTATTTAAAATTATAACCTTATCCATCAATTTCGTTAAAGTATTTATGTCATGGTTGCTTGTGGTAATTCAGAATAAATACATGTAGAAGTAAATTGCATGAGCGATTTCCAGGCCAGCCTGGCTGAATGAATAGCCTCTGCGTTGATTGTGTTGCCATGGTAACCTACAATTTCAAATAGTTTTGTTATGTTAGGAATTGTAGCTGGTTGAATGCGTCGTCAAATGGGTTAGAACTCTTCAATGGACTATGCTGTGATAGGAACGCAAGTCCTATGATGAATTAACGGGGATAACGTAGTCATATATCTATAAAGTTGAACAGGAAAACGGGAATTTCAAAATATAACACTTTAACTCTTGGTAACTTGTGACCATAACTGTTCACAATTTCTCACATAATGTTTAAAAAACACCTCGCAGCCTTGTGGGCGAGTAGTGATTGTCTCAATACTTGTATTTACGAGTTTCCGGGTAAGTTATGTCTGTGGTATCTTTAAAGTAATATCACTTTCTTCAGTACAGTGATATTCTGTGAATTCGGACCGCATCACTTCCAATGAAACGTCCAAATTAACACACCATGCGTTTGGAGTATGTCACTTTGTGTGTCGACGGTAATCATACGGAAGGCAGTGATTTCGAATAAACGAGGTCCGTACTAACGAGGTTCACTGTATACTTAAACGTCCTCCACAGGAATGAAACCGAGACTCAACTCAATGATTGTCAATTTCTATAATCAAAATAGTATTGATACAACCCTTGTCTATTTGTCAGGCATTCATCGTACCAATCATGTGACATAACTTTCGACATGACTCATATGAACCTTTATCAGCATTGACAATGAATATGTGTTAATATTATTCTTTCAAATGTTCTAAATATTTCAAATGACAACCATTGATATCACCACAGAGTCATTCTGTGATGGGTCTCTTATCCTCGGAGTCCATAGAATACTCGGGCGTTAAGGTGGCGTGTTCCACTTCCTCCTGTAGATGTTCCATTTGACGTCGCAGGTCCTGTAGATGTTGATGGATGTCGTGCATCTGTTTCCGTGCATTCTGGAAGGTCGACGACGCCGCGTCCGCTGAGATCTCGATCTGCTTAAAACTCTCATCCGCTGTGGTGTAGTCCTCCCAAAAGTCGTCACTGTCGTTGGTGTTGTTGTTGTGTTGTGTGTTATAGAAGGTGCAGCTGACGACGACTTCGTTGCCATCCGGTTCACTGTAGCTCCGACTGAATAACACCTCACTCGCACCGTCATCTTCGTCGTCGGCGTACATGCTGTCTGTGCTGATGTCATCTCTTTGTTCGGATATGTCAAGGTCAGATTCTGTCCGGTCAGTGATAGCTGGGGACATCCTCGATCGCCGACCATTCAAATAATCCGGTGGCGACCTCAGTACTTCCGAGCTTACAAAAGAAGGTAGCTTTTCTTCGGTAGGGGTCCTGTCTTCCAAGTCCTCAAGAATATGCTTCACAGATAAGAGCTCACTGAATGTCTCCTCGATTTCGGGAATACGCCGAGAGTTGGATGTGCTTGGATCTCCTGAAGATCTTGATCTGCTATCACAACTGTCCTCAGAGTCATCATCACTCTCATATTGAGGTCTTACCATGAGATAGTCTCTCTGCTTTATAGAGTCGTCCTCAACTAATGTCACATCTTGGTCATCGGACAACGTTTCTACACTCACACCAACGATATTTTCAAGTCCATAAGCTTCAATAACATCTTGAATTTGCTGAGATTCCCTCTTGGGCGGACTGTTCTCTTTTTCTGATTCATCCGTCTCACTAACACTTGTCGTTTCATCAGATATAGTCCTTGCTGATGAATCGTGGGTGTTTTCAACTTGTTTCAACTCAACAGGTATTTCAGGTTTCCTCACCACATTCCCTTGTTTATCCTTTTTAGATTTGCTTTTATCTTTTCCACCCTTCTTTTTGCTTGATTTCCTCTTCTTCTTTGCTTTTAAGGTACCGTCATCAACAATATACCCATCTTTGTCTTCTGTATATGATTCTTCACCTTTCTTCATGGAAATCGGTGAAACATCCTCAATAGTCTCAGCATGTACAGATACAACTGTCCTCTCAACAACTGTCACTGTGGCAGGTACAAGCATTTTATCAACAATTTCTTTGGGCGGACTTGTCTCCAGTCTCACCTCACGCTCAGGGGACATCTCCGGCGTCTTTGTTTCTATAGATTCATCCATATCATCACCAACAAGACCCATGGATCCTAAATTCACGGGTCTAGAATCTGCATCGTCAGGGTCAACACTATCTGAGAAATCTTTGAATCTGTCATCTATGTCTTCATCTTGACTTTGACTTTCCACAAGACTTGACAGTCGCTTAAAAACTGTTTCACCAAACAGTTGGACCTCATTTAGTTGTGTTGTTTGTTCCAATGAGTCCAGTGCCTCTTCGTCCTCCTCATCTACCTCTGCAAGCGCATCCATCGCAGAGGGACTTGGGGGAGGGACATGTTTAGGTGATGCAGGCTCTGGAGGAGAAAGGTTTTCGCCCGCTTGATCACTCTGTGTAGGTGCTTCCTGTTTGGTTTCAACAACCTTACCGTCGCTTGTTACACTGCCACTGGTCTCTTTTGTAGGCTGGGCGTTTTCAATCTGATTTGTTTGTTTACTTTCTGAGATTGATTTCAAAACGTCAGAAGTAACATCAGAAACTGCACCCTCTGGGAGTATGTTGTTTGATTTGTCAGAAATCTCTTCATTCACAACCTCTTTATCACTACATGTATCTTGAACTTGTTCGTCCTTTCTTGTGATGGTATATTTAGAAATGTCCAATAAAGGTTCAGGATTTTGCACATCATCTGTCAATGTTTTCTCAGGACTGTTAGATGCATTGTCGAGAACAGTGTCTATCACTGACTGCTTTGTGTCACTGTTGTCTGCTGCTTTTGAAATATTGATTTCTGCACTTCCTTCTAAATTATCATTCACAGTGGTTGTGGTATGTTCTGGGCTTTCAGAAAGGGAATCTGTATTTCCCTTATCTCCAGAACTTACTCCTGTTGAGTCGGAAATATCTTTATTTAAAGGAATGTCTGTTTCACGTTTTTCTACACTTTTTTCATTGTTTCTATTTTTTTTCTTTTTCGACTTCTTTTTCGATTTTCCAGATTTCTTTGTTATTTGTGCGTCTTTAGGCTTAGCACCTGATTCGCTGTTAACAACACATGAAGCCGTCACTGATGTGGCTTGAGAATGTTCATGTATATCAGCTTCAACAATAGTGCTTTGGCTTGGTATGTCTGTGCCCCTTCCAGAAACATCTGTAGACTCCAGACAATCCAATTTGCTAGCCTCTTCTCGAGTATCAAATCCAACTTCTGCAAGAGTGGAAGTAGACGAATCAGATTTTGGGGGAGTGTCCCTTGAATCGGCTGCTTTTATCTTCGGTACGACTCGTTTTGGTAAAGGGGAAGAGTTCGATTGTACAGTTTTCCTGGCAATTCGTGGTGACAGTGATGTTTCCTTTGATCGAGATGAATCAGCTTTTGATTGCTTTCTTGATTCAAGTGAGCCATATTCAGTAAACTCTTTTTCAGAACAAATGTCAGCGAGGTTGTAAGACAAATCAATACAGCTGATAAACATTTCATCCATCTGCTCCTCGTCGAGAGGCGTGTCATCATCCCGCAGCCATGGTGACACAGGACATTCCTGAGAAGCACGGAGAGATATTTTTTCGCTGCCAACAATTAGCTTCTTTGTCTGAGGTGAGGTCGTAGCTGCCTTTTCAGGTTTGACATCCTGAAGTGGTAGAGTGAAACTGTCACTATCCAGTACAGCCTGGCCCAGTGCCCTCTTTTTCTTCACGTTTCTTTTTCCTTTGCTTTCAGTTGTAGACGTTGTCGATGGCGGAGAAGCAGCAGCAGCGCCTTCTTCCCCTGGAGGTCTTTCCGACAAATTATCTATGATAGTCCTTTCAATTGACCGACCAAGTTCCTCCAACCTCTCAGTAGAGGTTTGGATTGGTGGCTGTTTTGGTAAAACACATCGTTGAACTTGAGGAGTTGATAAAAGAGGGGTACTGTACCCAACTGTACTCACATCCGATTCGTCATCATATGACCATGTACCTTGGGAACTTCCTGGACTTCCTAGAGGTGATCCGGGAGACTGGGTTCCCAAGTCGGCCAAAACATCGGGTCTCTTAGATTTGGATTTTGAACTTGAACTGGAAGGAGAGGCGCAGGCACCTGGACCATGTCCTGAAGAACCCTCTCCTTCATGTTGTGAATGTCTCTTTGATTTACCTTTGGACTTCTTCCCTTTTCGCTTGGGTTTGTCGTCAGGTTTCTCTGGTTGCTTCTCTTCTTCTTTCTTCTTCTTCTTATCTCCACCATGACGGTTACCCATGGTGTCTAATTGCTCAGTCGTTCCACTGTCAGAAGTGGGAGTCTCTGGGAGGATGTCTTCGGGAGACAGAGAGTCGGAAGCAGATAGGGACTGCAAAAGGCGGGAATCAAGCGCGGAAATGACAGTGTCGACGCTGTCGTCACTCTCGTCACTCATAAGCTTGTTTTGCTCCACTTTTCCCTGGGCAGAAGTTGAAGCACATGCGCCATGATGAAAGGTTTCGTCTTGGAGAAAACAGGGCCAAATTCAGATCCTGAAAACAACAAAAATACGCTTATTGTAACTCACATGTAATGTACATAATATTAAGAGACATCTTTGTTTAGGAAGGAATGTTTAATTATGATTTATCAAAAATATATTTAGAAAATCATTAAAAAGTCATTACGAATAAAACTGTTAATTTTGGCACTGCAAATTGGATGATTTCTAAAGGACAAACGCTAAAGAAAGACAGAAAAGAAATACAAAACAGACATTCTCTAATCCGTCAATGTACCATTGTGTACCAAAGATAGCGCGTTTATTTCGTCATATTTCAGAAAAGAATGCAAATATACTAACTAAAGTATGAATAAAAAATGATGAATGTCTTAAAGATGATGATATTTTAGATTCGTACGCACGCGCACGCACACACACACACACACACACACACACACACACACACACACTCACACACACACGCGCGCGCAAACACACATCCCCTCACAACTCCAACTCAATCAATAACGACACTCTGACTGCATTTGTTGAATTGTCTAAATTGCTTCCTTTCATGTGTAAGAGTTGGTGTTCTGAACTAATCGTCCATGGATGAAGGAACATGACCAGTCCATACGGTATTGCTGTACAGACATGGGTCAGGATACAATTTCTTAAACACATTTCCACAGCTAGTAATGACTGAACTAGCCTTTTAGATTCGTATGAATTCTAAATACGATGTAGCAAAATCTACCGTGTCTCTGATTAACAAACCTCTGCTTATAAAATCATGGTCAATGGTTGGTGTATATCAAATATTTGTTAAGAATGGTATGTAACAATTTGGGATCTGAGTAATTGTTTTGTATATTTATATTGTATTCCACATACATTAAGTTAACATTTCAGGAGCCGATACCTGTGCATTATTCCTTTAAAACGGACTATTTTAATATATCAATGGCAGTGCAGTAATCCAAAACTAACCAGGTATTTTTATCGGAAGACTTAAACACATTCACTTCAGCAGTGTGCGGGGCGGTAGCCTAGTTGTTAAGGCGTTCGCTCGTCACGCCGAAGACCCGGGTTCGAATCCCGACATGGGTACAATGCGTGAAGCCCATTTCTGGTGTCCCCCGCTGTGATATTGCTGGAATATTGCTAAAAGCGGCGTAAAACCAATCTCACTCACTCACATTCAGCAGTGTGCAGCCAAACTAAATACCGTCCAAGTTATAAATTATACCGTTGTAAAACAGTAAACAGCAGAGTATAAAGCGTGTTTATTACATCAGTGTATACCCAGTCAACAGCAAATATGAGGCTGATGTAGGACACCTGTTTATTAAACCAAAGTAAACCCTATGCGTAATTATAAATAGCTAGTGTTTATGAAGCCACGTTTTTACAAGCTTGTGTTTATCAACAAAGACGCCTACATCCCGTGTGGAACAAATATATTCTCGTGTTAAGGAAGAGAAATTATTGAAGCCAACTTCTTTATTGTGATGAACACATCGTTTCGGAGGATATACTTACTCCTTCATCCCCTGATGGTGACATCCATAGATTCTCTTCCCTACGTGTGTCACTTCTTAACGCCTTTCAAAGACATATTACCGTGTTGTCAAACTATTCTGACGTATGCAATAATTGCAAAACCCGTGAATGATACCCATAAGTGTAAAATCAGTGCATGTTTTATCCACATCTACAGATACAACATATCAATAGGTATGAATACACAATGCCATTAAGAAAGTGGTCAAATGTAACAAATGTAATATTTGGGATAACACTTTCTTAGTAAAGTACAGATTCTAGTTCTGACAGGGGTACTCAAAGTACGTTATCTAGACTACCATTTGTCGGACTTTCATTTTTGTGGAAGCATCGGTGGCTGACTTTGTGTGCTGGCGATTAGGTGCCTCACTCTGGCAAGTGTGGGTTCGAATCCCGGACAGGACTCAACCCAAATAAGTACTAGAATCTGTACTTTACTAAGAAAGTGTTATCCCAAATATAACATTTGTTATATCAATAGGTGTTTTTTTGTGTGTTAAACCTTCTACTCTGAAAAAATGACACTATTCCTTAAACTATACAAAGATTTACAAGCGGGCAATACAAAATACCAATACCTTGCATTATGTGTTACAACCTAACCTATTATCGGTGTAAAACAGAATATAACTCGTGTACACGTAGCGCTAAACCACAAGTGTGTTTATCAAACCAGTGATAACCAGTACGTTCTGGCCGTGCATCATCAAGTGGAAAACAATCAGGTATTCATGGGCCTGAGCTCAAGCAACTGCGTTTCTCCTTCCGCTGTTACGCCCATTAACCCGCGGCCATACGATAGCGATCCAGTATTTCACCGTTACCGACATATCCTTCGAGACGTACCACGTATCTGACATTTCAGAGTTGCAGGATAAATAACAAGTAGTGTGCGAGTCGCCGATAAAACCGTTACATGCACAATGTCATGGTACATTCACTGGGTTTTTTAATGTATGTACGTGTTACACATGTATCATGTTTCTTCCTCTCTTTGTGTACTGATAATGTTAACAGTTCCTTCATGTTTGTGTTTACATCAGCTGATTAATTGTTGATTAATTCGGACGAAACGACTATCTCAGCTTATCTTAACGCAACATCATGTAGACTTTTCTGATTATTACTAAACTGCCAGGCAAGGAAAGGGTAATTTGAAATTCGATTTGCCCAACAATCATAGGACTATGACACCCGCGTCAAAAACATCACCATCGAAGAACCGTTTCTTGTTTGTTTTGTTTTAAGCCACCATCAAACATGGGTGTATACTTTCTTTTGTCCAATCAATGGATTCTTGTACTATACAACACTGGACAACGCAAGTGGAACTTTCCTCAACTCACGATGTATGCAACAAAGTAGGGGTACGGGTGGCCCAGTCATCTTAGGCGCCGCAATTCGCTGTGCAGAGTTGCGTCCCGTGGGCACGCCAGAAACCTATGGTTGTGGGTTCAAATTCCGGTTCGCCCCGATTATGTTTCTAGGTTTGTGAACACCATACCCGTGCTCGTGGGTTTCACCGAAGAGATAAACGTCTAAGACCTGCATCACTTCGGGCTTTCCTCCCACATTAAACTGTCACGCCGTGATATGACTGGAATACTGATAAAAGCGGCGTTAAACCCAACTCACTCACTTCAAACAAAGTTAACTTTAATGAAACAGTTGATCTTTCAATCGAACTGACGGTGGTGATCTAAAGACTCTCCCCATTGATACTTGGTATGAAAATAGTATTCAGAAACGGTATGAATATCCTATTTATCACATACTTTTCTGTCAAATGTAGGAAATAATGTCTTACATTGTTCGTTCGGATAACATGGTGCATCTTCAAACAGACTGATGCCAATCTCAAGAATAATGTTTGTCTTTGATATCCCCACAGTACAAGCCCACCAACATGGGCTGATTCATCTTACAATATAAGATTCTATCAATATATGTCAATATGTACTCAGTGAAATAAATATAAATACAAAACACAGTCGCTAGTGGTGCAAGATCTGCTACCCCTTACAACAAGGTGACCTCAGAAGAACAACACAGACGATCCCTGACAACAATGTCAGAAGAACAACACAGACGATCCCTGACAACAATGTCAGAAGAACAACACAGATGATCCCTGACAACAATGTCAGAAGAACAACACAGATGATCCCTGACAACAATGTCAGAAGAACAACACAGATGATCCCTGACAACAATGTCAGAAGAACAACACAGATGATCCCTGACAACAATGTCAGAAGAACAACACAGATGATCCCTGACAACAATGTCAGAAGAACAACACAGATGATCCCTGACAACAATGTCAGAAGAACAACACAGATGATCCCTGACAACAATGTCAGAAGAACAACACAGACGATCCCTGACAACAATGTCAGAAGAACAACACAGACGATCCCTGACAACAATGTCAGAAGAACAACACAGATGATCCCTGACAACAATGTCAGAAGAACAACACAGATGATCCCTCACAACAATGTCAGAAGAACAACACAGACGATCCCTGACAACAATGTCAGAAGAACAACACAGATGATCCCTAACAACAATGTCAGAAGAACAACACAGACGATCCCTGACAACAATGTCAGAAGAACAACACAGACGATCCCTGACAACAATGTCAGAAGAACAACACAGATGATCCCTGACAACAATGTCAGAAGAACAACACAGATGATCCCTGACAACAATGTCAGAAGAACAACACAGATGATCCCTGACAACAATGTCAGAAGAACAACACAGATGATCCCTGACAACAATGTCAGAAGAACAACACAGACGATCCCTGACAACAATGTCAGAAGAACAACACAGACGATCCCTGACAACAATGTCAGAAGAACAACACAGATGATCCCTGACAACAATGTCAGAAGAACAACACAGATGATCCCTAACAACAATGTCAGAAGAACAACACAGACGATCCCTGACAACAATGTCAGAAGAACAACACAGACGATCCCTGACAACAATGTCAGAAGAACAACACAGACGATCCATGAAAACAATGTCAGAAGAACAACACAGACGATCCATGACAACAATGTCAGAAGAACAACACAGACGATCCCTGACAACAATGTCAGAAGAACAACACAGATGATCCCTGACAACAATGTCAGAAGAACAACACAGACGATCCCTGACAACAATGTCAGAAGAACAACACAGACGATCCATGACAACAATGTCAGAAGAACAACACAGACGATCCCTGACAACAATTTCAGAAGAACAACACAGATGATCCCTAACAACAATGTCAGAAGAACAACACAGACGATCCATGACAACAATGTCAGAAGAACAACACAGACGATCCATGAAAACAGTGTGACCTCAATAGTACAACACATACTCCCCCTGACAACAGTGTGACCTCAATAGTACAACACATACTGCCCCTGACAACAGTGTGACCTCAATAGTACAACACATACTCCCCCTGACAACAGTGTGACCTCAATAGTACAACACATACTCCCCCTGACAACAGTGTGACCTCAATAGTACAACACATACTGCCCCTGACAACAGTGTGACCTCAATAGTACAACACATACTCCCCCTGACAACAGTGTGACCTCAATAGTACAACACATACTCCCCCTGACAACAGTGTGACCTCAATAGTACAACACATACTCCCCCTGGCAACAGTGTGACCTCAATAGTACAACAAATACTGCCCCTGCCAAGAAGTACAGGGATGCAACAATGGTGACATGTTGTCATAGCAATGCACTGCCAACCAGCTGGATGACATTCACACACAAGGGTATGAGAAGCAGAAATATGGGATTCCCTGGCGCAGATCGTAAAAAAATGTGGTTTTGGCTGGGAACACACTGCTTGCAAGTACTTGTTAATTCACCATGAAGCTTCAAGAAAACATGATAACTTCACAGATAACTGACAAGTTTGGCAGAGAGTAAGTGTACAGAACATAGGAATATACCCGCTACCTACGTCATAAAAACACACTGAGAGACGTGTGTCTGCAGGTTACCTATCGGTGTCTTCCTAGCACATGTTGTTGTGGTCTCTTACGGCATGGCAGTTATGCAACATCATACACTGTCTTGGAAGTGAACGGAATCTTAACTAATTATTACATGCTTCCCTTTATATGTTCTCAGATAGGATTACAGGGAACCTCGCGATTAGGTCAAACAGCCACGTAATACGCCCTTATTCTAAACTGCCGATCAAAAAAGGAAACTTTAAAACTGGATTTGACCAAAAATTGCAAACGTTATTAAAACGTTACTAGGCTGAAAATAGTCGATATATAAATTATAATATAATAATAATCAAATGCATCACCATCGAAAAACCATTTCTTGTTTGTTTTATATTTAGCCATCATCAAACAATGGTGTATACTTTCTTTTGCCCTGCAGGTTAGAAAACTAAAGTGAAGAAAGTCATCAGTGATATTTCCGAAAACATCCGTCATACCCAGAAATATTTATATACAAGAAAAACAATTAATTTGACTTTCGCCAGTAAATGAGCTAACATTTCGCAATATATTCAGATATACTTATTGCTTACAATTGTGTATGTACTAGTCAGCGTTCATCGTTCATTAACGTGCTAAATGCATACACACCAAAGCTTAATAGGGAAACGATACAGTTTGGTTAACGACTACTATTAAGTATTAGTAGAGTAATAGTTCACTATCAATATTGAACTAGAACATCGAAAACACCATCATATGGAATAAAGCGTGTGTGTGTGTGTGTGTGTGTGTGTGTGTGGCTGTGTGGCTGTGTGTGTGGCTGTGTGTTTGGCTGCTTGTACTCGTCCGGACTGATGCCAATTTATAGTGCTAGCCCTCTGAGATACCATGCCGCAGTTTAACATGAATAACCCACTCAGACACAGTATACTGACTCAGAGCCGACCAGTCCTTGTTTTAGACCCTTAATGCCGAGCGTCAGACAGGGTAACAACAAGTATCATCTTTTCACGTCTTTTGGTATGACGCGGCCGGGGATCGAACCCCGGACCTTTCCGCTCACCGGGCGGACGCTCTACCACTAGACCACGGAGGCGGTTTAACTGTAGTGCCCTCTACTACCACTTTCCATTTTTAGACGGTATGAGTTAACTCATGACGTCACGCTTTTCACGAACACCTGGTGTTATCACGGATTTTCAGTCGCCCTTTCATATAGCTTTCACATATCTTTGGCAGTTTGCGCCTAGTGGATACTGTTTCGGCGGATAATCGAGACTTATTATACTCTGGCGTTGACGTTTTATATTTGCATTAAGACGTAATACTTACATAACGTTGCGACGCAACTTCCGTTCACTGATGTCGATATCATACGCCATTATTGCAAAAACAAACGGATCACATCTGAAATTATACATATCAGATACATTTTTAGAATATCCTTTCGGTTAGTCACATACATTAAATTTCGACATGCGCAGGGATCAAATAATCACATATCAAAAAAACAAAAAAACATCCTGAAAGAAATTTGTCGAACGGGAACTCGATTGACCTGGATTATATACCAGTCAGAGAAGCTGACAATAACAGTATGAACAATTACGGTTAATCGTTGGCGGGCAGGACGTTCGCTTAAGGTCAAGGATAACGTAAACAGGATAAGGCCTTTCATCGACCGACGTATTTATTATTGACCTTGTAGAGCAATTGACATAACGGTATGAAAACTGGTGTCAGTATGATATGTCAATGTAACCTGTTCCGTCGTGTGAAATCTAAACAACCTTACTTTATCTTTTGCCTACTGAGAAGGTTCAAAGTGCAAACAGCCTTTTGCCGTCTGTATAGGTTGTATATCCAGCCAAATCTGATGGTGATGGCATCTTTTAGCGGTGTGTTCTTTGGATTGACTTGAGGCTATTGTGCTTACACTGTTTACAATCAAGTAATGATAGCGTGGAGGGGTATACCAAGTCCATGTCCCGCAGAGTGATTCTAGTGACCAGCATAAAATCTCAAAGTTAGCGTTATCTCCCCTTCTTGTGGAGGGAACTAACCCTTGAACTTATGTGCGTCTTTCTTTTACGACAACGATTGCTTGTAATATTTTTGCAAAACATTCAGAATTCTTTTGCATGATTTGGTTTTCCATTCTAGATATATTCTAGATACCAATACTTGTGTTTGTGTTTCTCTCTGCTTGACAATATCTACTGTGTAAGTATTGCAGGTTTGTAAGTATGTAATTTGCTTATTGCCTATTAATACATGTTACTTATGCCACATCTAGCATATATATATACATACATCCTAGTTAAAGTTACATAAACCCCATGCTGATGTCAACAAGTTCGCGATATAGGCCTTCGGGAGCAAGAGTATCGTCCGTGTGCAATACATAAAAAAACAGCCTGACTTATAAATAGTTCAAGGTAAATCATACTTTCTGGTAAATATAGGCATACTTCATGTAACAAAACAAATTGATATTCCTCACACAGGATATACAACGTCTACAAGTTACATACATTTAGGGTGACTATAAGTTTGCGTGGATATCGTGACTCCGTAGATAAATAGATGAAATAAACGACCTCACGTGAACAGCTTGCACAAACAAGCAGCCCCTCATCGTCCGCCATTACTTACATTATCTCCTCCGCTTATGCACGGCACTCTCAGTGTTCGGACGAATACGGTCAGCGACGTTAAACACAAAACATAGTTCCCCAGAATCGGCGCAAGCTTACCTGCAGAATGGCCGACTGACCAGTACGCAATGGATGACCTTAACTAACAGATAGCGTAAAATATATGCCTTACCATTCAGCGAAATCTTTTCCTGCGAGGAATTTGGCCCTGTTCTACCAAGCCTCCCCTGTCATCGGAGCCCAAGTACAGGCAGACATACTGCTGCTATATATAGATCCCGAGTGTTGGCAGCAGATGCAACACGACCTTTCACCTTTCCTCGCGAGCGCCGCTCGTGTGGTGCGCACGTTACAATATGCCTGTATGTACCCTCAATGAGAACGGTCTAGCGCTGAGCTGGAGATAAAATCTCGGATGCTTGGTTGAGACTTTCCTATTTAAACGATGTTCCGTTAAACGCTATTTTCAACTGCATTTTGGCTGTCGGGCTATCATGCAGGTGCAGACATACTCCAGACACATTTCAAACGCTTCACTTTTGAGGTGGTTGACGTTTAGTAATAGAGGTGTGGCGGTCAGCATACCAAGTAACGGACATCAGCTGATACTGATACAGAAACTGTATATGACCTCTGGCCGATTTTAGCAGGGGGCAAGGGAGGCCGATCTGAACGCCGCCGTCAATACCGCCGCAATTCGCTGTTCACAGTTGCGTCCCTTTGGCAAAGCCAGAAACTTGTGACTGTGGGTTCGAATCCCGGTTCGCCCTGACTATGTTTCTAGGTTAGTCAGTATCATTCACATGTTCGTGGGTTTCACCAAAGTGGTAATCCTCTAAGACCTGCATCACCACGGGCCTTCCTCCCACATCAAGCTGACACGCCGTGATACAACTGGAGGAGTGAGTGAGTATGGTTTTACGCCGCCTGTAGCAATATTCCAGCATTATCACGGTGTGGGACACCAGAAATGGGCTTCACACATTGTACCCACGTGGGGAATCGGACCCGGGTCTTCTACCGCTAGGCTACACGACCGCCTCTACAACTGGAAGAAAACGGTCAATTTCATTAAAATCAGGACTTAGTTCTCGCTACCGATAACAAAGATCTGAGGACATGCCATTACGGGTCACGTCAGAACGACCTTTCGCGAACTTTGACCGACCAATGAAATGAAAAACAAGAAGCCCACATTAGCCAATCAGAAAGCAGCTTTCTCGGGTTTTCGGCATTAGTTTCAAACCGTAGACTCCCATTTTAGACCATGCTTGAAAAATATGTTTGAAAACTGAACAGAAGAACGTCCTGGAATGTCAAATATATGGTCCAGATTGTATGGCCGTGGTTCCTATTTACAATACAACGTCTCTTCCGTTCAGCTGTTTATCCCACTGAAGCGAGAGACAGTTGATTATTTGACGGAATCAATCGTACAGGCCGTAACTACCATTCGAAATAGCCCGTGTTTTCCTCTTCGTTGTTTCACAATTAGAAAACACATTCCGACTGTCACTTTCTTGATTTGTTTACCGACGCTCTGATTGGTCGAATGAAAAGTCATTCTGACGTGACCCCTAACGGGATGTCGTCAGATCTTTGTTTAGCGGTAGTGAGAATTAAGACATAAGTTTAATCATTTGGATGACGTGATTATCCATGGGGATTGCTCGGTACATGGAGGTGTATTTTTGACAAAATAAATATTTCAACTAGCATGTAATTGGTATTTTGAGAACGTGAGGGGGAAGCTGGCGCACATACACACACGAATATATATGTCATTTGGAATTTGGGGTAAAGATTCTTGCACACTGGTGGCAGCAATGATACTCATGAGTTACGAAGGTGTCACGGGGGGGGGTGTCTTCGTTGCTCATGCGGTCGTCCACTTGCAACCAAACACGATTTTTTACAGGGCAAGTCACACAGCAGGAATGTTAGTTCTTTTCCCCCTGGGTGTTTCGTGTCAAAAACACAATGTGCGTTGTAAGTGCCTACTAATGAGGATCGGGAGGACACGATGTGTGTTGTTAGTGCCTGCTATTGTGGATCGGGTGAACACAATGTACGTTGTAAGTTCCTGCTGACTGTATGGACACAATGTATGTTGTAAGTGCCTACTAACTGTAATCGTGTGGACACAATGTATGTTGTATGTGCCTACTAATGAGGATCTGGAGGACACAATGTATGTTGTATGTGCCCACTAATGAGGATCGGGAGGACACAATGTATGTTGTATGTGCCCACTAATGAGGATCGGGAGGACACAATGTATGTTGTATGTGCCTACTAATGAGGATCGGGGGAACACAATGTATGTTGTATGTGCCTACTAATGAGGATCGGGGGGAACACAATGTATGTTGTAAGTGCCCACTAATGAGGATCGGGGGAACACAATGTATGTTGTAAGTGCCCACTAATAAGGATCGGGGAAACACACTGTATGTTATATATGCCCACTTATGAGGATCGGGAGGACACAATGTATGTTGTATGTGCCTACTGATGAGGATCGGGAGGACACGATGTATGTTGTATGTGCCTACTGATAAGGATCGGGAGGACACAATGTATGTTGTATGTGCCCACTAATGAGGATCGGGAGGACACAATGTATGTTGTATGTGCCCACTAATGAGGATCGGGAGGACACAATGTATGTTGTAAGTGCCTACTAATGAGGATCGGGAGGACACAATGTATGTTGTATGTGCCCACTAATGAGGATCGGGAGGACACAATGTATGTTGTAAGTGCCCACTAATGAGGATCGGGAGGACACAATGTATGTTGTAAGTGCCTAATAATGAGGATCGGGGGAACACAATGTATGTTGTATGTGCCTACTAATGGGGATCGGGAGGACACAATGTATGTTGTAAGTGCCTAATAATGAGGATCGGGAGGACACAATGTATGTTGTAAGTGCCCACTAATGAGGATCAGGGGAACACAATGTATGTTGTAAGTGCCTACTAATGAGGATCGGGAGGACACAATGTATGTTGTAAGTGCCTACTAATGAGGATCGGTAGGACACAATGTATGTTGTAAGTGCCTACTAATGAGGATCGGGGGAACACAATGTATGTTGTATGTGCCCACTAATGAGGATCAGGGGAACACAATGTATGTTGTAAGTGCCCACTAATGAGGATCGGGAGGACACAATGTATGTTGTATGTGCCCACTAATGAGGATCGGGGGAACACAATTTATGTTGTAAGTGCCTACTAATGAGGATCGGGAGGACACAATGTATGTTGTATGTCCCCACTAATGAGGATCAGGAGGACACAATGTATGTTGTATGTGCCTACTAATGAGGATCGGGAGGACACAATGTATGTTGTAAGTGCCTAATAATGAGGATCGGGGGAACACAATGTATGTTGTATGTGCCTACAAATGGGGATCGGGAGGACACAATGTATGTTGTAAGTGCCTAATAATGAGGATCGGGAGGACACAATGTATGTTGTAAGTGCCTACTAATGAGGATCGGGAGGACACAATGTATGTTGTAAGTGCCTAATAATGAGGATCGGGGGGACACAATGTATGTTGTAAGTGCCTACTAATGAGGATCGGGAGGACACAATGTATGTTGTATGTGCCCACTAATGAGGATCGGGAGGACACAATGTATGTTATATATGCCCACTAATGAGGATCGGGAGGACACAATGTATGTTATATATGCCCAATAATGAGGATCGGGAGGACACAATGTATGTTGTAAGTGCCCACTAATGAGGATCAGGGGAACACAATGTATGTTGTAAGTGCCTACTAATGAGGATCGGGAGGACACAATGTATGTTGTAAGTGCCTACTAATGAGGATCGGTAGGACACAATGTATGTTGTAAGTGCCTACTAATGAGGATCGGGGGAACACAATGTATGTTGTATGTGCCCACTAATGAGGATCAGGGGAACACAATGTATGTTGTAAGTGCCCACTAATGAGGATCGGGAGGACACAATGTATGTTGTATGTGCCCACTAATGAGGATCGGGGGAACACAATGTATGTTGTAAGTGCCTACTAATGAGGATCGGGAGGACACAATGTATGTTGTATGTCCCCACTAATGAGGATCAGGAGGACACAATGTATGTTGTATGTGCCCACTAATGAGGATCGGGAGGACACAATGTATGTTGTATGTGCCTACTAATGAGGATCGGGAGGACACAATGTATGTTGTATGTGCCCACTAATGAGGATCGGGGGAACACAATGTATGTTATATATGCCCACTAATGAGGATCAGGAGGACACAATGTATGTTGTATGTGCCTACTAATGAGGATCGGGAGGACACAATGTATGTTATATATGCCCACTAATGAGGATCGGGAGGACACAATGTATGTTGTATGTGCCTACTAATGAGGATCGGGAGGACACAATGTATGTTGTATATGCCCACTAATGAGGATCGGGAGGACACAATGTATGTTGTAAGTGCCCACTAATGAGGATCGGGAGGACACAATGTATGTTGTATGTGCCTACTAATGAGGATCGGGGGAACACAATGTATGTTGTATGTGCCTACTAATGAGGATCGGGAGGACACAATGTATGTTGTAAGTGCCTACTAATGAGGATCGGGAGGACACAATGTATGTTGTAAGTGCCTACTAATGAGGATCGGGAGGACACAATGTATGTTGTATGTGCCCACTAATGAGGATCGGGGGAACACAATGTATGTTATATATGCCCACTAATGAGGATCAGGAGGACACAATGTATGTTGTATGTGCCTACTAATGAGGATCGGGAGGACACAATGTATGTTGTATGTGCCTACTAATGAGGATCGGGGGAACACAATGTATGTTGTATGTGCCTACTAATGAGGATCGGGAGGACACAATGTATGTTGTATGTGCCTACTAATGAGGATCGGGGGAACACAATGTATGTTGTATGTGCCTACTAATGAGGATCGGGAGGACACAATGTATGTTGTAAGTGCCTACTAATGAGGATCGGGAGGACACAATGTATGTTGTATGTGCCTACTAATGAGGATCGGGAGGACACAATGTATGTTGTAAGTGCCTACTAATGAGGATCGGGAGGACACAATGTATGTTGTATGTGCCTACTAATGAGGATCGGGAGGACACAATGTATGTTGTAAGTGCCTACTAATGAGGATCGGGAGGACACAATGTATGTTGTATGTGCCTACTAATGAGGATCGGGGGAACACAATGTATGTTGTATGTGCCTACTAATGAGGATCGGGAGGACACAAT